CTCAATGCATTCTGGATACTAAGTAGGGTACAGTAAAACCAAAAAAGGTCCTTTACCTCATTCAGATATACTCTATTATTTGTTTCTGCCCAGGTTATCCCTATTGAGATTGAAGTCAAATGTATAACTGACAGAAATCTAAAAGCTCTATAGCCCAAGCAAGGAAGCTACCTCAGTAACCAAAGTCCATCTTGTGTGCCTTCATAAATATGTTGAGATACACACATATATGTCTTCTGTTGACATATATGTTGACTATTGCTTTTTAAATTTAAAAAATTTACATTTGGAGCAGTGAGGTGGCACAGTGCACTGGCCCTGGAGTCAGAAGAACCTGAGTTCAAATGCTACCTCAGACACTTGATACTAGCTGTGTGACCCTAGGCAAGTCACTTAACTACAATTGCCTCACACAAAAACAAAAAAAAATTACATTTAATTTTTATTTTATTTTTCTCAATTGCATGTAAACAAAAAAATTTAACATTCATTTTTGAAAAATTTTGAGTTTTAAATTCTCTCCCTCACCCACTTCCTTCCCTGTCCTTGAGAAGGCAGACAATTTGATTTAGATTATACATGTGCAATGATGCAAAACATATTTCCATATTAGCCATTGCAAAAAAAAGACCAAAAAACCCAAACCCCACCAAGAATAATAAAAAAAGTAAAAAAATAGGCTTTAATCTACAATCAGACTCCATGAGTTCTTTTTCTGGAGGTAGATAGCGTTTTTCATCATGAGTCTTTCAGAATTTTGACTGTTACTTCAAACTTTGACCACTGGTCTTGCTCTGTTTGCCAGTGTTCCTACCCTCTAGATTTCTTTTTACTGTAAATTTGGTCTTCTTACCACTTATCTTATTTTGAAGTCTGCTCCTCTGCACCCCTCCTCCATTTCTATCCATTAAGTAGTATTTGACCTGCTGCATACTCTTATTCTGGCTTGCCTACCTATTTCTGACCTTCACTATCTGAATTTTCCCATTGTGGGCTACTTACCTGATTACAGAAGTCCAACTTTACTTTGGCCACTTGTTAGATGGTGCATTGTACTGTTCACCTGGAAAATGAGCTGGATAAGGAAATGGCAAACCATTCTAGTATCTTTGCCAAGAAAACCCCAAATGAATGACAGAGTCAGATACAACTGAAAAATGACTGAACTGTTATTCAGAACAGACTCACCATGGGTCACTCTACACTATTTCTCTGCCTGTTGTATTTTCTATTTTACACTCATCCACACTCCATATTTCATAGTCCTGACTGACTCCTTATCCTGTAATCCTTGATATCACCCACAGCCCCAGTGCCTCCAGTGCCTTTCCACTTTTGTTCATAGTGTATAGAGTACTGGACTTGTGTCAGGAAGACCTGGGTTCCAATCCTACCTAAGACACTTACTAGCTATGTGACCCCTGGGAAAATCACTTGACTTCCTTCTGCCTCCATTTCCTCATTTCTAAAATGATGGAGTTGGAGGTAGGGTCAAAGACTCCTTCAAGCTCTAGTTAGGTAATTCTGTAGTCTTGTGATCTGATTATATCTTATAAATAATAATGGTTTTCTATTGTTTACAACATAAATGATAACTTTAGTCTGGTATTCCAACTCCTCTGTTTTTCCAACCTCTTACCCCAAACCGAACTAATCTATTTGTGTCTGTATCTATCCCTTGTCTTGCTCTTTCTCACCTCTGTACCTATCCATATATTTCCTGTCTTTCTAGACTTGAATTCAAAGACTCTTTTTCCATGAAGTCTTTACTGCCCAATCCAACTTATAATGATTGTCTTTTTCTTATGGCTATCAGATCAAATAAACTCATGTATGGAAAGGCTTTGTGAACCTTAAAATGCCACATAAAAGAATCAGCAAGAATTTATTAAGCTCTTACTATGTGCCGGGCATTGTGTTAAGATCTGGGGACACAAAGTAAAAGCAAAAACAGTCCCTGCCCTCAGTGAGCTATTATCATTGTTATTTTAGTCAACACATATGTTGCTAGTACACCAAAATTTTAACCTGCACATCAGGCGGGGCTGTGGTGTAAAGAGACACTAGGGGGCAGTAGAGGGTTAGGTGTGGTACAAATTATGTGCATTATACTACAAGCCAATTATCTGATCTGAGGATACTTGGACTGGAAAGGCTTCAAGTATAGTTATAATTTATTTAACTCATAAGTAGTATAAAGTGACATCCTGGGAGCAGAAGGGGTTAGCCTGGTGGACAAATTGTGACAGAAATCAAGGAAGGAGCAATTAGGCAGCTCTAGAACCCCTGACCTCTCCCTTCTCTATGGATGGAAAACTAGAAGCAAATGCAGCTAGTACAACTGAGGTGATGATGATGATGATGATGAAAACCAAACAATTTACATTTAGGTGAAGCTTTGAGGTAGGCCCTGAGACTAGAGCTGACCACAATTCTCATCATCACTTGCTTCCACAGCATTGCAAGTTGTGTACACAGGACAAGAGCACCAGGAGCCCCAAACTTTGTCCCATTCACCCCAACACCATAATGATGGCACAATGGAATGAGACTCCAAACAATGTCTTGGGTGTCATTACCCCTATGCCTCTTACCTTCTACTGTTCACTCCCTAAATATTTATCTATAGATTTTTTTCTTATTATATTTGGGCTGGTCTCTGCTTATTACAAAACTCCCCACATGTGAAAGGTCTTCCTACTTTCAAAACAACTAAATATTCTCATGGAAATGCCAGTGCATTTCCCAGAGCAGGGGAAGAGGGTACCTACCCCCCACCTCAGTACATACACATACACTTTGTACTTTCTCTCTCTATCTCTGTCTCTGTCTCTCCTCTATCTTTGTCTCTCTCCCCTACATGGAATTCTGTGCTCTAAGTAATAAGAAACTAGGCAATTAATCCAGATAGTCTAGACATTTAACTCTCTGTAGGATCACTGTAGGAAAGGGGTGCTATTTTAAAGACCCTTCTTACACCATCTCCCATGATGCTATAAAAAAGCAGTCAAGGGAGTAGATAAGGTAGCAAACTGCAATTTAAAAATGAGGCTATAATTCAGATTGCTAAACTTCTCAAGTGATTCCTTTCACTGAAATGAAGATCTAGTGTTTTTTGGATTATGTATCCAACCCAAGGGTTATTTACTATACAAGAAAGAATAAAACAGGCAAGATAGAGCAGGTCTTATGTAAAGTTTACAAAGGCCAAATGGTCTTTGTAATCTGAAGAAAACAAACAAACAAACCACTTTTCAGTTTATTTATATGATGCAAGAGAAGCCAAGAACTAAATAAAATTTAGGAAGCTGTGTAGCTTTTCACTTTGATAGTGACTTCTCTTTTTCTTGAAGACTGGCACATCCTTAGACATGATGCTAGGGGAAAGCAGTAGCCAATCCAGTGATTCACTTCATGGAAGAGAAATCATTTTTTGATGGTCTTTGGTTGCTTTGTTTCACAGGTTGAGATTTAGCTGTTTGCTTTTAGCATCCTCCTCTTAGTTTAAAATTAGTAGTGATTGAAAGTAGCCATTAGCTTACTAGTTCAAAAGTCTAGTATAATCCAGGTTGCTTTCAGCAGCAATGTTATGAGTAACTTCTATAAAATTGATATTTCCTTTGGGATTTGGTCAATGATATGGTGTTTTGACAAATGACTTCTTAGATGTAGTACAGTCTGTGGGGAATTATCCAGACAACAGTCTTTGTTTTGCTGAGGCAAATTCCCAGGAGAAATAGCAATGTTGCTTTTTCTCTGGGGCTTGGAATTTACCATTGTCCTGGGAAACATGATTTCATTACTCCAAGAAATAAAAGCAGACCAGAAATATGACTCTTTGGAATGTATGTAGTGTGTATGAGTAAAAATGTTAAACAGTGGCTAAATAGTAATTATCCTGATCTGATTTTTATAGCCATAACTTTTATTTATTAAATTAGTTTTTTCCCAAATTACATGTAAAAACAATTTTTAACATTTGTTTTTTAAAATTTTGAGTTCCAAATTGTCTTTTTCCCACTATTCCCTTGCTGCTCCCTGAGAAGGCAAGCAATTTGACACAGACTATACATGTGCAGTTATATAAAATTATTTCCATATTAGCCATGTTATGAAAGAAAACACAGACCCCAAACCCCCCAAATCAAGAAAAACAAATAAAGAAAAAAGTATGCTTCGATTTGTATTTGAACTCTCAGTTCTTTCTCTGGAGGTGGATAGCATTTTTCATCATGAGTCCTTCAGAATTTTCCTGAATCATTTTATTACTGAGAATAGCAAAGTCATTCACAGTTGATCATTGAGCAATATTGCTGTTACTATGTACAATGTTCTCCTATTCTACTTACTTCACTTTGCATCAGTTCACATAAGTCTTTCCAGGTTTTTCTAGAAAACCTGCTTGTCGTTTCTTATAGCACAATAGTATTCCATCATAATCATGCACCACAGCTTGTTCAGCCATTCCCCAACTGAAGAGCATCCCCTCAGTTTCCAATTCTTTGCCACCACAAAAAGAGGGGCTAGAAATATTTTTATACATATAGGTCATTTTCCTTTTCCTTTGATCTCTTTGGGGTACAGACCCAGTAGTGGTATTGCTAGGGGTGCAAAGGGTATGCACAGTTTTATAACCCTTTGGGCATAGTTCCAAATTGCTCTACAGAATGGTTGAATCAGTATACAACTTCACCAATAGTTTTAGCCATAAATTTTAAATAAAGTCATTCTTTACTCTAAAATTGTTTAAGAAGATTTCACATGAAAAAAAAAAACCACACTTTATCTTTGCATAATATCCTTAACAATGAACTAGATCACTTTTCTACAAAGTGTTAGTGAGTATACTGGCCAGATTTGCCAACTAAATATTTTATTTGGAGATAAAATCTTTTAATTATTTGGTAATGAACTTTTGTCTATAACACCAATATGTTAAATAGTAGTACTGTGTCAAATGACCTATGTTCACTTCAAAAATGTTTCTCTTATTCCCATAGATTCTACCCCTCCAGGATGTTTACTCGACAGTTCACAGAAAATGCCGCTCTCAGTTCACTGATGTTGGAGGTTTTAAAAGAATAGGTATCAATTCATGGCAGGATGAGAGTGGGATTTATCCCAATGCACATGTAAGACAGATAGTCTTCCCATCAGTTAATCCTATCCTTCCTATTTTGAAATAATACACTGTATCAAAGGTACTTGTTTAGTTCCATTTCTTTTGAAAGAGCAATAAACAATCAGTTAATGGTTTATTATATGTTCTAATAAATATAACTGAAGTGCTACTCATACAGTAGGTTTTTTCTTCTGGGATATGACTTTTTTTTTTTAAGATAGATGAACACCATCAACATTATCACTAGCATGTACATAGCAATTTAAAATGCTGACTCATTTGAAGAAATCGTTATAGAAATTATAAAAATCACCAGATGTTAAAGATATTAGGAATTCTAGAGACTGTCTAGTGTGGAGGTTCTTAACCTGGTATGCATGAATGTGTTTTTTTAAATATTGTGATGGCTACATTTCAACAGAATTGGTTTCCTTTGCTATCATACATATTTTATTTTATGCATTTAAAAACATTATTCTTAGAAACCATTAGGCTTCACCAGGTTGCCAAGAGGAATACATGTCACAAAAAGGGTCAAGAAGCTCTGATCTAGTCCAGCCCCTTCAGTATATATGAGGAAACTTAGTCACATAGAGGTTAGTCACTTTGCCCAGAAATACATAGGAAGTATAGAGCTGAGCTAGACCTTGAATCCAAACTTGACTGTGTGATATTCTGGCATTTAGGGAAGCTCCTTCCCCTTATTTGGGTAAGCTCCTACCCCTTTGTTTAGATAAGCTCCTTTCGCCTCATTAGATGAGGACTCCAAGGGCACTTATCCAAGAAAGAATCTGCTTCTGTATTTAGAGGGAACACTCATTTGACAAGGAGTAAAAACATATACTGTGCTATACATGGTACCTCGAAAGAGGTTTAAAAATTCACATAGTCTTAAGGAGAAGCATGTGCTATAAGAAATTGATAAAGTAGAGATGCTGAAATTGTACCATAGAAAAGGGATCAACATGTCAAGAAACCACATGTACTGGGGGGCAACCCAAACCTAGCACTTCCCTGATGCTGAGAATAATGTGGATTGTAGAGGACCCAAGAGCAGCTAGGTGGCACAGTATACAGAGTGCAAAATAAGTATAGTCAAATAAATCAGCATATTTATTATCTATGAAAACGTGTTTCATTTTGCACCCCTAGTCCATCATTACCTCTGCCAGGAGGCAGGTAACATACGTCATCTTAGTACTCCAAGACCAGCACTCTGGACACCAAATTATAGTGTGTCAGTAAACCTTTCTTAAGTAGCTGGCAGCTGGATGGTGCAGTGGATAGAGTGCTGGACCTAGAGTCAGGAAGACTCATTTTCCTGAATTCAAATCTAGCCTCAGGCACTTACTAGCTATGTGACCCTGGGCAAGTCACTGAACCCTGTTTGCCTTAGTTTTCTCATCTGTAAAATGAGCTAGAGAAGGAAATGGCAAACCACTTCAGTGTCTTTGCCAGGAAAACTCCAAATGGAGTCACAAAGAGTCCGACATGACTGAAAATGATCAAACAAGAAAAGAGGACCCAAAGGATATGTTCATGTGAAAAAGATCTGGAGCTTGTGGAGGATTGGCAACTCAACATGAGTCAGCAGTATTATATGGAATCCAGAAAAAAAACCCAACAACAATGCAACAACCACACACAACATATAAAATAAATAAAAAAAACTAATGTAACTTTAGGCTGTCTGGAAGAATAGCATTGTGCTTATGTCTAGGAAGTGATAGCCACACCGTATTCTGCTTTATTAAGACCACATCTGGAGTTCTGTGCTCAGATCCACATACCACATTCTAAGAAGAGTGTCGAGAAGCCAGACGGTGTCCATAGGAAGGACACCAAGGTATTGAGGGGTCTTGAGATCATACCATATGAGAATCAGATGAAAGAACTGGAGGTTTTTAGCCTAGAGAAAAGAAGATTTAGATGAGTCTGGTGATAGCTATCTTCAAGAATTTGAAGGGGCATCATGTGGAAGAGGGAATAGATTTGTTCAATTTAAACTCAGAAGGAAGAACTATGAATAATCGGTAGAAGATTCAGAGAGGCATATTTTCATTATATTGAGGGGAAAACTTCATAACAATAATAGTTATCCAATAGTGGTATAGGCTGAGTTGGAGATAGTGGCCTTCCTCTTCCCCTTCAGTAGAGGCCTTTAAGTAGAGGTCTGATAACCACGTTGCGTGTGTTGTAGAAGGAATTTTTGTTCAGGTATCAGTTGGACTATATGGCCTCAGAGATCCTATCCAACACTGAGATTCTCTGATTCTCTGGGATACACCAGAAGGGAGGTCTGTTTGACACACTCTGGAAAGTGGAGGATAGTTTTCTTGATGGTCAAAGGACTTGGGTGGGAGCCCATTTTTTTGAGGTTAAATAAAATCTTTCCTGTAGTTTACCCTTAGTACTTTCAGGGGAGCTGAAGACCCTTTCTGGGACAGTAAACTGAGCCAACAGCAATCATTGCCCAATTTAGTTGGGTGGGACTTTAATCCAGAGAGACCTCCACAAAAATGTGCCTGTGTCTGTTGTGTCTGGAGCTAGGAGCCTCTCATATTTACATATATGAGTATATGTGTGTGCATATGACATAGATGCATATAGATGGGCTCAGAATTGAATGGGATTTAGAAGGAAGAAACTGCAAAGTGTTTTTTATTGATCCAAAGCTACTTGTTGCAACAAAACTTCCTTTTTTTCTAGTGATGCTATATGACCGTGAATAATATGTTTACATGCATGTTTTTTTTCCGTTCAGTCCTCATGACAGCCCTGAGAGGTAAGGCTATTATTATTTTATCTTACAGATGAGGAAACTGAGGTGGGCAGAGGTTAAGTGACTTGTTCAAGGCCATTCAGCTATGTCTAAGACAGCATTTGGACTCAGGTCTTCCTGACTCTAGGCCCAGTGCTCTATCTACGCCCAATGGTGATGGGTTGTGGTTGTGCTTTGTCCTTCATTCTCAAAGAGGACCATGACATCAGGGAGATGATGACATGACTTGCAATTGAATTGGATTTAAATGAGGCATGACTGTGTAAAGTCATCAGCCTCACTTTCTCCTTCAGAACCATCTGGATCCAGTGGCCAGATATAGATCAAGACAACTGGAGATGGCCCAGATTGACGTGGGAGACCTTGGCCTTTTTTGTCAATCCTCTTACTACAAAATATTGTGTTTGGGTCTATTCGGTACAGGAGCAGCCCTTCTTCCTCCACAGTGGGCAGCTCCAACCTTTGACTCCCCAACAGCCATGTCGAAGGGGCCTGCAGTTGGCACTGATCTTGGCACCACTTATTCCTGTGTGGGAGTCTTCCAACATGGGAAGGTGGAGATCATTGCTAATGACTAAGGAAACAGGATTGCCCCTAGCTACATGGCCCTCACCAACACAGAATGTTTAATTGGTGATGCTGCAAAGAATCAAGTTGCAATGAACTCCACCAACACAGTTTTTGATGCCAAGCATCTGACTGGTCTCAGATTTGATGATGCAGTTGTACAGTCAGACATGACGCATTGGCCTTTCATGGTGGTGAATAATGCAGGCCTATGGTCCAAGTGGAGTACAAAGGGAAGATCAAAAGTTTCTATCCAGAAGAAGTATCTTCTGTGGACTTGATCAAGATGAAAGAAATTGCTGAAGCTTACTTTGGGAATACGGTCAAAAATGCTGTGGTCACAGTACCAGCTTCTTTCAATGATTCCCACCAAAGATGCTGGAACCATCACTGATCTCAGTGTGCTCTGAATCATCAACGAGCCAACTGCTGCTGCTATTGCTTATGGCTTGGACAAAAAGATTGGTACCAAGAGAAATGTGTTTTTTTTAAATTCATAAATTAATTTATTTTTAGTTTTCAACATTTACTTCCACAAGATTTTGAGTTCCAAATTTTCACCCCATCTCACCCCTCCCCCCACCCCAAGATGGCATTCATTCTGAATACCCTTTCCCTAGTCTGCCTTCCCTTCTCTTTCTTCCCCCCTTCTCTTATCCCCTTCCCCTTCAATTTTTCTGTAGGGCAGGATGGATTTCTGTACCCAATTTCTTGTATTTCTTATTTCCCAGTTGCATGTGAAAACATTTTTTTTAAACATGTGTTTTTAAAACTTTGGGTTCCAAATTTTCTCCCTTCCTCCCTCCCCACTCACCCTCATTGAAAAGGCAAGCAACTCAACATAGGCTATACATGTGCAGTTATGCAAAACACTTCCATAGTAGACATGCTGTGAAAAACTAACTCTATTTTCCTTAACCCTATCCCACCCCCCATTTATTCTATTCTTTCTTTTGACCCTATCCCTACTCAGAAGTATTTGCTTCTGATTACCCCTTTTCCCAATCTGCCTTCCTCTCTATCATCCCCCTACTCTCTTGTTCCCTTCCCCCCCTATTTTCCTGTAGGGTAAGACAGATTTCCATACCCAATTGAGTGTGTATGTTATTCCCTCCTTAAGTCAAATCCTATGAGAATAAGATTCACTCATTCCCTCTCACCTTTCCCCATTTCCCCTCCACTGTAAGAGCCTTTTCTTTTCTGTTTTTTTTTTGTGAGATAATTTACCCCATTCTACCTCTCCCTTTCTCCTTCTCCTAGTATAATCCTCTCACACCCCTTAATTTTATTCTCCAGATATGACCCCTTCATCGTCAACTCACCCTGTGCCCTCTATCTATCTATCTATCTATCTATCTATCTATCTATCTATCTATCTATCTATCAATATACATACATATAATTTTTTCCCTCCAACTACCCTAATACTGAGAAAGGTCTTATGAGTTACAAATATCATCTTTCCATGCAGGAATGTAAACAGTTCCACCTTAATAAGTCTCTTATGATTTCTCTTTCCTGTTTACCTCTTCATGTTCCACTTGAGTCTTGTATTGGAAAGTCAAATTTTCTATTCAGCTCTGGTCTTTTCATCAAGAATTCTTGAAAGTACTCTATTTCACTGAATGACCATTTTTTCCTGAAGGATTATACTCAGTTTTGCTAGGTAGGTGATTCTTGGTTGTAATCCTGTCTCCTTTGCCCTCAGGAATATTATATTCCATGCCCTGCAGTTCCTTAATGTAGAAACTGCTAAA